ACCGGACGGGTTAACGTGGATTAATCCGTGAAAAAAGGTCAACGTGGATTGACCTCTGAGGTCAACGTGGATTGATCTCATTTAACAGTTTCAGGGGAAATTGGCACTGTCCTGGAGACGTCCAGACAGTGAGACAGAGCATTAGGCATCTGAAAACATAGAATTCGGGGTAAGAATGGGGAAGTCCCAGAGCAAACAGAAAAGCAATAACTAAAGATTAATCCGTGTATCGTCTAATGCAAAGTGTAGGGTATATGGCTATGGCTATAAATGAATGACAGGAATGCCACAGGGGGCTTGATTAGTCATCATGTGTTCCCTGTTGGTGAAATAATAATCCACACTGAAACTGTTTAGCCTTGAAATTTGAATCAAAGGAACTTTTTATTCAAGGTGATAAATTAGAAACATGACTGAAACTAAAGATTGAGAAATGTTAGAAGAATTTAATAAGATAAGTAGATCAATATTGATTATCCTGAGATTTTTTTACCTTATTATTTTTGAAATAGATAAATAAATCGATGCCAGAATTGTCATATTATAAATAATAAGATATTAAATGTGTTTAAATATACTTGTGTATCTGAAGATGTCGAGATACCCTTATCCCTGGGAGACAGCATGAAAAGTTTATCCATTGAAGAGATTCTATGATTTTGGTTTGGTTTAAGTTAACTAAAATAGTGTTTGTGCATTGTGTTGAATGAGAACGAGACTGGGTGACCAAGTCAAATACATATAACTACAGTGCCCGTAAGGTGACATGTCCGGTTCACTTAGTTTTGTCGTGGCCACAACATAATAACTCGTGGGAACGTGATAATAGTTTTGATATATTTATGGTAGGAAATTTACAAAATATCTTCATGGAACATGATCTTTACATAGTATCCTAATTATTTTTGGCATAAAAGAAAAATCAATAATTTTGACCCATACAATGTATTTTTGGCTATTGCTACAAATATACCCCAGCGACTTACGACTGGTTTTGTGCTCCAGGGTCACATATAACAATAAATATAAAAATATAGCCCTAATAAGTTAATGTAGTAATAATAATAATAATAATAATAATATACAAATATTAAATTAAATGTTTAATGTTAATAAAAATGTTTGATCTATTTTTTATAATCCCGGGTTGCTATGGTCACACAGGTTTGTTTATGCATTAAAATCGTGGCCACGAGAAATGGATGTCATTCCCTCAACATAGCATCTCGAGGCCACAACATAAGGATGTCGTTACCTCGACAAAATGATCTTGTGGCCACGACATAATATCACATTTCCTCAAATTAATATCTCGTGGCCACAACATATTATTACGTTCCCACGAGTTATGTCGTGGCCACGACAAAACTAAGTGAACCGAACATGTCACCTTACGGGCACCGTATATAACAGACATCTCACAGTAATGTTAGTTTCTAGCAAACAGGAAAGACCAATAACTGTTTACTATTACACCATATACATTATTCTATTCTAAATGAAGTAATTAGTGAGGTTACTGCTGTTTTCTGCATTTTTGCAAAGAAGCAACTGCTTGCTTTTTTTTTGCAAAGAAGATCTGCTTATTAAATTATTAAAACAGAATGAGGAACTGCTGTTCACCAGATGAGACTTATAAAATGTAGAGAAGGTTAAGAATTGGAATTTGGATGAAAAGCTGAATGCTCGGACACAATTGTGGTCAGAATTCTCACAAAGGTTCAATTTGATTCATGTGGTTTTCTGAGTGTTCAAGTTTTAGATGTGACCAAGCCACCTTGACAAATGGGAGCAAACAGACTGTAGTCTGCTCAAGAGTGAGAGAAAGCAGAGACTGCTGCAGAGAGAAGAGGAAGTGGCTGAGGGGTCTTCTCCACTCATGAAAGAGGAAGTTGACGCTTCTGAGTCGTCATGGAGACAGACTGGTGCAGGAAAAGGTGCAGTTTTCACTTGAGACTTTTCCTAAAGACTAAGAGAACATTCTGCCATGCAGAATTGTGGCAAAATTCATCAAAAGGCTGAGAAGTGGCATAAAAACAACAGAAGCCACAGACAACATTTGATTATCATTCTAAATCCAATTAATAGTGATTTTTCAGCTTTTTGTTCAAAATCTTGTTAATTTCTTTATTTTAAATTTTTTTTATTTATAAAACGTACCCACATTCAAGTGTTTAAAAAACGAATGCATGAAGCTAGAATAAAATGTTTTTGTTTACAAGCAGATACATGTTTTGTATGTTCAGATATTCATAACAAAATATATACAAATTAATACCTAAATAGGGTATTATAATACTTTCCGTCTAATACTTAAAGTATGATGTAAAGTTCACTTAAAGAAAACTTAAGAGTATACTTGCAGTATAAAACTACTAAACTAGTAGTTTACTGAGACTATACTTCAAAGTGTACTAAAAATGCTACAAGTATTTAATTAGTAAACTATCAGTATACCTATAAGCTCACTTTTAGTATAGTTGCAGTACAAACTAAAAACATAGATGTAAACTAGTTGTGTACTAAATGTTTACTACTGTTATACTAAAAGTATACTTAAAAGTATACTTTTATGTACTATAAAGTGGGCCAATTCAGTCCCAAGGAGTATTGAAATATTACACTTAAAAGTATACTACTAGTACACTGATATTTGTATACTTACTACATAAAGTATACTTAAAAATATACTTTAACTTTACTTAAGTATACTTAAATAAACTTGAAGTATACTACTTTTTGGTAAGGGCAGGCCTTTGAGTGCTACCACTGGCTGACATTCAAATGCAACAGCATGAGGAGATCAACTGACTGACGATCCACACAGAAGGACTTGCATCCCTCCCTTTGGGACACAGGTGCTGCACTTTTAATGATCACTACAGAAACCGCGTCAGATTTTGTTATTGTAATATTAGTTTGATTCATTTTGATTAAGTACTGGTCGCACAGTTTTTTTTTTTCCATTCTTCTGTTAAACTAATATACTGAATCTGCTTTAATAGGTACCAGTCCAGCATAATGTACATCTTAATGAAGGGAAAAGACGTTCATTGACATAAGTGGGAGTTTGACTTACTTATTAGTTTAAATCTGTGCTGGATTTGTCATAGTGAGGGCTATTGATAAGACATAAATAGATTACAGACTATGTAGTATTGTTTGGCAAAGAAATGGGAAGGAAGGCATAAGGTGCCTAAGATGAAATTTTGATTAAGCAACAATGGTCATTCCATTTCATTTAGTGATTTTTTTAATTTTTTATTTAATGAACATAAAAACTCCAGATTTCCAAACTTTGGACTCACAAATGCTGTCATCACCAGGGGTACGATAGGGGGATGTTTTGTTTTTGGCAATGGATCCAAGATTTTGTGGAGATCTCCAATTAAGAGTTTGAAATTTTTACTTGCGCAATGAAGGAAAATTGCATTTGAGAAATGGAAATTGGCTCACTCGAATGCAGTCCTAGGTCTATCAGTCGGCGCCATCGGTTCTTCGCGATGGCGCCGACGCTGATGGCTGCCTCCGTGGCGTGCTCCTCAGTTGTTTTTATGTTTTTGTTAGTTTGTCCTGTCTTTAGTTATATCCCTGCAATCAGTTTCACCAGAGACGAATTGCTGGACATTCGGAAGTACACACCACCCGATATTTCACCGGTTTTCGATTATTCTGATGTTTTGCTGGACATTGTAGTCGGGGGAGCTGCGGCGCTGATCAAACGCTTCAGGACACGCAGACGGGGGAAGCAAGCCGGCGTGCTCGTCAAGCTCAGACAGCGCGGATTCAGGACGCCGTTGCCAAGCATCCATCTGGCAAATCTCCGCTCTCTACCCAACAAAACAGACGAACTCCTTCTGCTCTCCCGGACAAATAAGGATTTTTCAAACTCTGCTGCTCTGTGTTTCACGGAAACCTGGCTGAAAGACGCCATTCCGGACAGCGCGTTGAGTCTCCC